AGAGTGTGTGTGTGTGTGTGTGTGTGTGTGTGTGTGTAAACAATTCAAGGAAAATTTTGATTGATGTTTTAAATAAAAAAATGCATATTATATGTATATATACACACATATATAAATTATGATGATACAATAACGTCACAATGCAAAAAATTATGCTAGGTTTTCTTTCTTCATTATTCCTGAGGTGAATAGTGCTGGCAGGTTTCCTGAGATGCAGTTCTTCAGATGCATCATCATATCCAGCGCATGCCGTTACAGTGATCCGAGTGTTCATTTTTACACCATAACACACACACACACACACACACACACACACACTCACACACACACACTGGACTCAGTCCCGTCTAACCTGCACTGCATTGAGCTGAAGGGGTGGAGGAGGGAATCAATGCCGTTTTCAACATGTAATGGTTGCTAATGATTTTCTGCTGGTTTACTGAAGGCGCTTCTATCTGTTCATCAGGGTGATTTGGGTGTTTTTGTGCTGCTGGAACAACAATCAACGGATCGATTGTGGGCAGAACTGATGCATGAGGTTCTAGACGAACCAAAGTCCACACCAACACGGCGATGCTGCAAACATCTGCACTGACGACACTCATGAATGCAAAGAAGCCACAGCGATACGACCTCACCTTGTTATTATTATTGATCACAAACAGTTATTCATATCAGCCCTGTACCATCATCACAACAATGACAGATTCCTAAACTCTGCGTTTGATATATTTGGTTACACGCATGACTGCTTAACACCTGTCACCTATAATCAATACAATTCGCATCCAATCATCTGTATTGTTCCTGTAGTTCTTCTAATGTCCTGTGTTTGCTGTATCATCTGTGATTCAGTGACATTCCCACACTGATCAATAACGCCTCTTTTAATGCTTACTGTACTGAATCAATCAATCATTCGGTTCATTTGAATAATCTGCAGCATTTCTGCAGCATAACATCACAGTAATCACAGAGCGTCTGCAGTGGAGCTCTACATTGACTTCATTAGGACTGCAGCTGACATACGCACTGCATTCTCCTTCATAAGCGCTCATAACGCGCTCGGTTTCCTCACACCCACGTTCAGTAGCGCGAGCGCAGAGAACCGGACGGAAGCCGGTGACTCCCGCAGCATCAGCACCACTGCATCAGCACCGCATCTCTCTCACACACACACACACACACACACACACACACACACACACACACACACACACAGGCCAGCGCGGGTACTCACGGTCCGTAAGAACTGGATCTCATCTTCGGCTTCGCCGTCCGTCATGGTTCGGCGCGGGTTCGGAGCCTCTCACCGGACAGATGAAGCTCTCAGGCGGCGGCGGTGGCGGCTCTGATGCGGGTGTAACGGGTGTCTCCTGCCGCGTTCTCATTGGATGGCTGACATACTCAGAGGGCGGGGCTATGCAGATGAGCGTGCGACGCCGGCAGCGCGCCCTCTGCTGGATGACCGTTAAAACCGTTAAAACCGTTACAGCATCGAGCAGCGCCATCACGAGGACACCAGAGCAAACACGACTCTATCAGTGTAAAACATTTTAAAAAAGCATTTAAAAAAATGTTGAGGTAAACTGAAGTAAACGAATATGTTGATGAATATTAAACGAACCTGCAGATTCTCTCGTTTAAGCAGCATGACTCGCAGTCGCGCTGTTCTTCGGAACCAACAACAGCACGAGTATCAGTTTTCTTACAACATAACAATAAAGAAGAACTTTATATCGAGTAACTTACATTTCAGACATAAGTTTTCCAGTTCCACAGCAGACAGGAGATCTACAAGAAACCAAACCGCAACTAAGGACTGTGAGCCGTTAGAGCGGGAAAATTAGCGCGGGATTTCAAAAAATAGGGTTCGTGAGTTAACGAAGCTAATAATTAATAAACTGCAGAAATTAGAAATAAAAATGTAAAAAAACAAACGATCCAAATAATAAAAATATTTGTTAATATTTATACCTGCATGTCAGTGTCACGTGACCAACTGACAGCCTCGAACATGTTAATGTTGATAAATTATCGAAACATTAACATAAAATCCCAAATTTACTTTAGCACGAACTTTTAATACCTAAATTAACATTTAATGTATGTATGAAATATAAACTGATACCAGTGTTACTGTTTTTGGCTAATAACCAATGTGATATTATCATTTTAATACTGTAAGTCCTACAGATTTTGTTTATAAGACAAAAAACAAGCCCCAGTATGTGTTCTACTTGGACTCATTAGGCTGTAACGGACAGGAGAAACCATGGATGCCATAGAAAAATGCTAAAATTAACTGCTTCCAAACTCTGTCCTATTAATAAAACACTAATACTGACTAATGTGTGCACTAATATACCATTTACAAATTCACCAATACAGAAAATCTGAAAACATAAATTTTAATCTGGGAAGAAGTCATTCCATAATATGCACCTATACATTAGTATTTCTGACACACATTTCCATTTTATGAATCACAAGTGACATTAAGATAACTATTTTACATTTGGAACATGTGAGCATGAACTAAACCTGAGCTTCTTCAGCTTCAATCTGACCCAAATGACACTCTACTAACCTGAATAAATTAGATTTTGAATTCCATATTTTCACTGTGGTCTCAGACTTTTGAATGCACTTGTGTGTGTGTGTGTGTGTGTGTGTGTGTGTGTGAGAGTGAGGTGTGAGTGAAAGTGTATGTGTGTGTGTGCGCGTGCATGTGTGTGTGAGTGAGTGTGTGTGTGAGAAAGTTTATGTGTGTGTGTGTGTGCGTGCATGTGTGTGTGAGTGAGTGAGTGTGTGTGTGTGAGAAAGTGTATGTGTGTGTGCGTGCATGTGTGTGAGTGAGTGAGTGTGTGTGTGAGAGAAAGTGTATGTGTGTGTGTGCGCGTGCATGTGTGTGTGAGTGAGTGAGTGTGTGTGTGAGAAAGTGTATGTGTGTGTGTGTGTGCGTGCATGTGTGTGTGAGTGAGTGAGTGTGTGTGTGTGAGAAAGTGTATGTGTGTGTGCGTGCATGTGTGTGTGAGTGAGTGAGTGTGTGTGTGTGTGTGTGCGTGCATGTGTGCGCGAGTGTGTGTGTGTGTGTGTGCATGCATATGAGCATGCGAGTGTGTGCATGTGTGTGCGCGTGAGTGTGTGAGACAATCAAGTGCTTAATGACCGTTTTAAACACATTCTCCTTAATGTGAATATATATACACACTCATAATCACCAAACACAGAGAGTTTTGATTTAATGCCAGTTTATCTGAAAATATAGAAAGCACATCTTTCAATGTTCATCTTAACAGATGTCAAATTATCAGTTTCACTCATTTTTTCCCCAGTTAAGTAAAATTAACAAACTGAAATAGATCCTAAAACCAAAATAAAACAGCAGGATTGTGCGTTACATTTAAAGCACCATACTGAATAAGTGGTCCTTATGATTTATGCCACCGTCTAATATTAATACTAAAACTGACCGTTTGCTCTTATGGACCTCATTTATGTCAATTTAAACCGTCAAACCTACAGGAAGACACACAGAGAGAGAGTTAAATGACAGACGCCACTGAATTTACTGTGTTTACCGTCTAGTGACTTCAGGAACTGAAACCTGTTCAGTTTAAATGATGAAATCACAATCAAAGAGAAATTAAAGGATCTGCTGGAGTCTGTAAGTTCGGCTGGTCTTTTGTACTATTATTTTCTTTAAATCGCATAAGAAATCAATTTATAAAACCCACAGGTCTAAAAATAAAATAAGTGCTTGTCACGGTTTTATTAAAAATAGAAATGTAATTAAAAGCAGCGCTCTAGGTGGCACCTCCGTAGTGTAAAGATAAGTGTTTTTTGGACCCTTTGATATTAAAATCCCTAATCTGGGCCAAAATCAACAAAACAAAATGAGTTTTCTCTGCAGTGTCGTCCTGATCCGAGCGGTTTAGCATCAGTCGGTGTCGTAGCCCAGGATCGGACCCAACCAGCGCTCCACCTCCGACACCTCCATCTGCTTCCTGTGAGCGTAATCCTCCACCTGATGACAAACACCGAGAGAGACGGAGGTCACACATCTGCGCTCACAGTTCCTACCGCATTATTCAGTCTTGCAGTCACACAAATAACTGGCCACATCATTTCTGACCCTGGAGCACAACACCAGTCATAAAGGTTAATTTTGTGAAACTGAGATTTATGCATCATCTGAAAGAAGCTGAATAAATAAGCTTTCCATTGATGTATGGTTTGTTAGGATAGGACAATATTTGAAAATCTGATCTATAATTTTGACCCATACAATGTATTGTTGGCTATTGCTACAAATATACCTGGTTTTGTGCTCCAGGGTCACATTTGGAATTGGGTGAAAATTTGTCATCGTTCTGGGAAAACCACTTCCTTAATCTGATTGGTGAATGCTACCTTTGAGGAAGAGATGAGTCTGGATGGTCTGGTTAAACGTGAGGTTCATACCTGCTCTTTAGTGATTTTACCCACAGCGAAATAGCAGGATTTGGGGTTGGAGAAATACAGGCCGGATACGGAAGCAGCAGGAGTCATGGCCAGAGACTCCGTCAGACCGATACCTGCAGGAGAACATGAAGAGACACGCTCAGATCCCTTCATCACAGAAACATCTGAGCAACCTCATCACTTAATCTAGAAATCAGTTTCTGGAAGGAAATGTAAGTGTTTAAAGGCTGCTCGATTCTAACATTCTCGGAATCGATTTGTTTCTTGGTTCTAGAATTGATGGAGTCGATTCAGAAAATCGATTATTTACGGTTTTCGATTCTTCTTTTTTTTTATGAAATATTGGAGGAATGTGAACGTTCATAGAAAGAGCCTTTTCCTAATCTGAAGCGTGTAAATATAAAGACACCTTTCTATACGATTCACAAAAGAACTGCGGAATCGTTTTTATGAACCAGTTCATTAAAACAAATAAGAACACGTTTGCGGACATGCATCAGACTTCCGATCACTATTAGCGTGCGAGAGGTGAATTAATGATTCGCTCAAAATTGAAAAGGGCTCTTAAAGAGGAGTTGACTGCCCTTGATGGACTCGATTCCCAAAATCTCAGAATGGATTTGTTTTGGATTCGATCCTCCTCTCACCGGTTTTCTCCTGTATGTCTGCGAGTTTCCACATGGTGTGTTTCTCGGTGTGGTCGGGCTGGCTGGGGTATCCTGCGGCCGGACGGATCCCTTCATACCGCAGCCGGTGCAGGTCAGACGCCAGCAGATCCTCCTCACAGCTGTAACCCCACAGATCCCTGCGCACACGAGCGTGCAGCTCCTCCGCGAACGCCTGCCGCAAACACACAACACACTCAAACTCAACACCAGCACTGCAGATACATGCCTCACAGGTCAGTCAGACGGTCTCCTCCTGCTTGAAGACCGTTCACAGCAAGAACAATAACCAGCAAGTTTTAATAATCACTATGAGCATGGTGACTCATTACAATGCTTAGTGTGTGTGTGTGTGTGTGTGTCAGAGAGTGTGTGTGAGAGAGAGTGTGTGTGTGTGTGAGAGAGTGTGTGTGTGTGTGAGAGAGTGTGTGTGTGTGTGTGAGAGAGTGT